GGGATCCGAACCCTCGGGCAGGAGCGCCGCCGCACTTCCCAAGCGGTGCACTATCCAGTGCACCACCGGGCCGGCCCTCCCCATTTGTGAATTATCAAATTTTCTCATTGTTCTCCATCTGTTGCCCCAAATGCAGGTAGAGAATAGCAAGGAAAGAGAGAAAAGGAATCCTTGCAAACCCATCCTGCTTCTGCTCCCAGGCTCATTAGAAGCGCAATGAATTTGAATAGGTAGAGAAGGGTGTGCTCCCAAGAAGGGGACTCCTTACCTCTCTTGGGAGCAGAGATCTCTGGGATGCACCAGAAATATTTCTTGGATGAATGAGCTGACAAAAGAATAAAGTTGAAACTCAAAACACCGATAGGAACGGAGCTAGAAATGCCTTTGAAAATTCTCATGGCTGCACTGAAAGACTGTATAGTTTGGGCTTTATGTTTACCTGACTGCCACACAACTTGGAAGTAGTTTGTTTTTATAAACACAGGGTACATTGTCTTTTTATTCACGTAATCTGTGGTACATGCAAACCAATTTCAGTATACTGAGCTTCTGCTCTGTTTGCCCAAATACTGCAAAATCACTCCAGGCCCAAACAGCAGAAAAATACATAGAATTAGCCATGACTTCCTAAATGATCTCCCTCCCACAACCACGTTCTTCCCCTTCATCTACCCATTTGTTATCTCTGTACACTGGACCTAGCTGCCTGCCCTCGATTCCAGAACCTTTCTTGCAATAGGTATTTGAATGTCTGAAGTACAATGGCCCAGTTCATACAAATATTATTATCATGGCTAACATTCTACTCATTCTACTCCATAGCTTAGCTCCTAGGGTAAAGATCTCTTTGCTGCAAGCTCAGTCCAGCCCATCAGCAGCAGTGCAGTCTATCCTCCTGAGCAACAGATGCATAGGTCCAACCAGCCTGTGGTGAATCGAAGGCCACTCCCCTCCCATCTTCCTGTCCCAGGCAACAAACCCAGCCTCTTAGATACTGAGACTAAAGACCCTAGTACACTTATGGTCACAGCTGCAGAAATAGCCCTTTGCAAGTCCAGCCCATGTTACTATTTTCTTTTTTTTTTT